CCTAAACCCTAAACCCTAAACCCCAAACCCCAAACCCCAAACCCCAAATCCTAAACCCTAAACCCTAAACCCCAAACCCCAAACCCCAAACCCTAAACCCTAAACCCTAAACCCTAAACCCCAAACACCAAACCCTGAACCCCGAACCCCGAACCCTGATCCCCGAACTTCGAACCCAGAACCCTCAACCCCAAACCCTAAACCCTAAACCTTAAGCCCTACACGCCCTAAACCCCTTAACCTCCAAACCCCCAACCCTGAACCCTGAACCCTGAACCCTAAACCCTGAACCCTGAACCTTAAGCCCTAAATCGTGAACCCTGAACCTTAACCCCTGAACCCTGAACCCTGAACCGTCAACTGTGAACCCCAAACAGTGAACCATGAACCCTGAACCCCGAACGCCGAACGCCGAACCCCAAACCCTGAACCCTAAACCCTGAACCCTGAACCCTGAACCCTGAACCTTGAACCTTGAACCCTGAACGCTGAGCCCTGAGCCCTGAGCCTTGAGCCCTGTGCACTGAACCCTGAACCGTGAACCCTGAACCCTGAACCCTGAACCCGGAACGCTGAACCTTGAACCCTGAACCCTGAACCGTGAACCGTGAACCCCAAACCCAGAACCCCGAACCCCGAACACCGAACACCGAACCCCGAGCCCGGAGCCTCGAGCCCTGAACCCCGAGCCCTGAACCCTGAACCACAGCACTAAGCCCTGAACCCTGAACCCTGAACCCTGAACCCTAAACCCTAAACCCCAAACCCTAAACCCCATACCCCAAACTCTAAACCCCAAACACCAAACTCCAAACCCCAAACCCTAAACCCTAAACCCCAAACCCTAAACTCTAAACCCTAAACCCTAAACCAAAAACCCCAAACGCCAAACCCCAAACCCCAATCCCCAAACCCCAAACCCTAAACCCTAAACCCTAAACCCTAAACCCTGAACCCCGAACCCCGAACCTCGAACCCCGAACCCTGAACCCTAAACCCTAAACCACATAAACCCCCTAAACCCCAAACCCTGAACCCAGAACCCTGAACCCTAAACCCTGAGCCCTGAACCCTGAACCCTAAGCCCTGAACCGTGAACCGTGAACCATGAACTGTGAACCCTGAACCTGGAACCCTGAACTGTGAACCGTGAACCCTGCACCCTGAACGCCGAACACTGAACCACGAACCCTGAACCCCAAACCCAAAACCCCAAACCCCAAACGCTAAACCGTAAACCCTCAACCCCAAACCCTAAACCCTAAACCCTAAACCCCAAACCCCAAACCCTAAACCCTAAACCCCAAACCCGGAACCCTGAACCCCGAACACCGAACCCCAAATCCTGAACCCCGAACCCTCAACCCCGAACCCTAAACCGTAAACCCTAAACCCTGAACCCTGAACCCTGAACCCTGAACCCTGACCCCTGAGACCTGAACCTTGAACCCTGAACCCTGAACCCTAAACCCTAAACAATGAACCATGAACCGTGAACCCCGAACCATGAATCGTGAACCCTGAACCGTGAACCATGAACTCTGAACCCCGACCGC